GGTGGCGGATGGTAGCGGTGGCGGTGGCGTAATGCTACTACTGCTACCGCTACTGCTGCCGCTTCTGCTACTGCTAACACTGCTGCTACTGCGCACACCGCGACAACAAGTACTGCTGCTACCTTCTGCCACAACCTCTGCCGCTACTGCGGCTGCTCCTGCTGCCAAGTAGCTACCGACGCAAGAGCGACAGTCATGTCATGATGGTTCTCAAGCCCCAACCAGGAGACCCGACCGCTCCAAAGGATCAGAGAGGATGTCCGTTGGGAAGTAGCCGTCGGTATCGAGAGTCCAAGCCTTTGGGGCGCAGAGGGGAGGAACTCTGACAAAACAGAGATCGGCTCATCTAATGAGACCCTTGACTTAGAGCGGCTGGTTGTCTTGCGCATGCAACTTTTATCCATGACGAGCTGGCGTAGCGCATGGTCTCGAGTTTTTGTTCGGTCTGTCAAAATGTGCAGCCTGCCCTTCTCCAAAGCACAAGCGAAAGCATCATTAGCTCCACAGTTTCAAAGCTACAGGAACTCTGTTGCAAAACATCTATTTCGGGATTCGGACGAAGCAGAAAAGCTTTGAAGACAGCTGTCAGCCTGCTGCAACGCGAAAAATGAGGCAAGCGATAAGCGACATGCGCGGGGCCAGCGCCCATCTGGGTGGACTCTAATAGTCTAGTCTTCTCCGGAAGGCCGTGCCGACGTGCTGGCTGCAACAAGACACAACTGAGAGCACTCGAAATGCTACAAGCACGATGATGCAGTGAAAGAGGTGCGCCGTAGGAAGGTAGGTACGAGCAACACATCAGCCACACACATCAGGCTCTTCCAACCCAGCTTCGCTGAGTCCGTAACTTCTTCACCCCTCGGCACTCTGCACCTTAAATCGTAATGCCTTGCGCAGGCTCAAACTTGGAGCCCAGTTCACTCAGCTTCTTGTGGGCCTTGGCATAGTCCTTGAAGAATGCATCCTGGTCCTTAGCATAGAGCTCGAAGTACTTCTTGAACTCGGGATCTGTGTGCAGAGCCTCGTCCGTTGGGAACCACAGCAGGTTCTGATCGGAGAGCTTGTAGTCTTTGAAATAGCTGTTGTCGAACGTCAGCCAGTTCTTTGTCCAAGCAGCGCCACCAACCATTCCAACGCCTTTGCTGCCATCCTTCCGTGCTATGCAGTCGGACTTGGTGTACTTCGATGCCGACTGCTCGCCATAGCCGAAGGGGCAGGTGCCACTGCGTTCCTTGAAAGCCCGACCGATGGTGTGGGCACCAGACAGTGCAACGATTTCCTGATCTGTGAAGCCCATCTTCTTCGTGAATACATTGCGAAGATGCTGTGCAGCCGTCGGGGCCCCGCAGCCAAAAGGAGGCTTGGCGTCGGGGAGTCCTGCGTTGCCTCCGAAGCCCTCCCTGGAATCTGATTTGACGCACTCGTTGCCGCAGCATACTGCCACCCGTCCGTACTTCATGTCAATGGCAGGGCCACCGGCACACTCGATTGCAACGGCAGACGCCATCTGGATCAGGTCAGCCCAGGAAATCTCGGGGTACTTCTTCGCAAACTCATCGAGAAAGCCTTTCGCTTTGTCCAAGCCGGCGTTGGCACCGAAGTTCATCTCGCCGTCAAACCTGATCGCACCGTTGGCGCCACCTCGCTCTGGGAAGTCCTTGATGCGCTGGTCGTAGGTGCCGGAGTCATGCCACGCCAAGCGCACCATGATGGGATGACAGTTCTTGCTGTCGATGAACTTCTTGAGGTCCTGCTTGCAGGCCTTCAGCTGCGAAACCTTTTTGCTGCCCAGCATGCCGAAGCAACCATCAGAGCAAGCGTTTCCCATGGCGGCCGTGCACAACTTGGGGTTCTAAGCTGGTATCTGTAGTGCTAAGAACCGGTGAGAGCCGAAATGGCTTCAAACGTATATAGCTGCAGTTTAGGTGTCAGGGGCTTGGCACTACTGCTTTGGGGGCCATGAACGGCAGATGTCAGACTTCCATATAATGCCATGGAGAGAGATGCCAACATCCCAGTTCCGGAGCCGAATTTATTTGTATCTGAGGCCGATGGCATAGTCAAAGCCTTTCATGACGGGCTGCATAAAAATGGGTCCCGACCTTGGCTGGCTGCCGCGTGGCTTTATCTTCACACAGAATCCGCGCAGCAGCATGATAGAGCGTCTGTCCATCTGTAGTTGGAACGATTGCCCCGGAGAGCGCACGCAAGCAGAAAAGGATGGGACACAGAGCAGAAGGACGACTAGAACAAAGCCTGCTAGACCTATTGCCCTTCCCGATTCAGTCAAGGGTCCTGAGCTCTAAACCCAGTACCCCAAAGCCCTGTTTTGAAATTTTTCACTGAGGCAGATGCCCTAAGCCCCAATTAAGTCAAGGGTCCTGAATCGGCACATGCCACGGTATCCCAGCCCATACCCACCAAGGTCAAGCTCGATCCGCCCCTGTCAGGAACTCTTGTCTTCGTTCGGGTACTGCCCGCATGCAGTAACAGTCTAGAACAGGGGTACTATTCAGGGGGCCGTATATTTCAGGGCATTATCCAATGTCTCCGTCTTGCCCCAACCAACAATCACATCAAGTCTCCCTAACATTGGTCAAGTTCGTGTGACTGGCGACCCGGATTGTGCTCACAAGGTGTTGGTAGGGGTAGTCGACTGCAGATACTTGGAGGGGCTTTTGAAATACCCAAACACACTAAATGTTGTCAACCCAGCGTGCGCAAAGTTCTACTGACCGCTGCTTTGGTGCAGTTGGTATCGATACAGTCTGTTCACGTTAGGGGGCGCTGAAATACAGTGCCCCCTGTAGGACTCCGGAGTGTATGTCTAAACACCCCTCAGAGTACCCCGTAAACACTCCAGGATAACTTTACCTCTCCGAAGAACCTGCACAGTACCCTTTATGGGAACCCTTACTAAGGGACCCGACAGAAGATGCAGCATCATCTGCTCCGAAGAACAAAGACACCTCCAACAAACGTGAAACCGTGCCTTCAAAACGGCAGGGACGGACTTGTAGTCATCGACATAGGCAAACCTGGGATGATGCTGCAGAGGACTGCAGGCGTGCGTGTGCCGGGTGAGATAGGATAAGAGTCGTTAAGATGATTCAGACTGGTCTTGCTCATTCTCTTCAAGGCAATGGCGACCTTCTACTTATCGAGCATCACAATCCTTATGTACAGACGAGAAACTCTACAAGACCGACTGTAAAGAATGGCGAGGCCGAGGAGGCTTGCAGTTCGACGTAAAGGTAGGATAGCTCGCGGGTTTTTGGACATTCTTCACGCTGCCATACGTTTTCTGTCTATCCGGTCTGCCATTCTATGCTTTCCCTCTCCCGGTTGAAGATCCTTGCCGTAGACCCAAGCATCCTGCTATGCAGCAAGCAACTGGCTCAGAAAATCTCGGGGCGGTGTACCGTCCTTACGAGCATAACAAAGTTTTCACCAGCCCCAGAAAGCTCAACTGCAACTCCACACACCGGGAATGGAATCGGCCCTCATGCCCAAACCGCCTTTCGTCAGCTTTAATATCGGGGTCGGAATAAGTATACTAGTACTAGCAATATCCCCTTTATCGCCTCTATTAACCTGCCTACTTTGTACATATACAAACATATATATATATATATAATACGATATACAGAGAATAATTTCAATCAACCTCACTCGAATCTCTTGTCTTTGATATTTTAAACGTTGGCATTTCAAGGTACTTCTGATCCCCTCTGCTTCCCAGAATTTGCGAGTTTGGACAACCGGCTCAGGAGGGTGCCATATTCGGTTCGACGATGCCTGGCTGGCAACAGTGCTTGCACAGCACCCAGCCGAGGAATTTGATGCAGGAGACGACATGTAAATCATGTAATGTACGGGCCTCAATAATTAGAATATGGCTTTGGGGGCTTCCTTGTCAGAAATTACAGTCTAATATACCCCCAAACCCTTCTCTGTTTGTTAAGGCCCCTCTAACAGTAAGGTCTGCGGGCTGCCTGATCTCGACGTAGACTTCCGCACTTCAGGACATGCCCTGAACTGTGATCATAGGGACCCTTGGCGTAGGGGGCCTTAATGCCCATAATGAGGACCTGATAAGGCCTATTTGAGCAAATACAGTCCCCTACCCCCCTCCCCCCTACCCCCCAAAGGGTCTGTATGATGTAAAGAGCCCTAGCTACAAAAGCCAGCATCGATGTCATACTGGCCAAATGCCCTCAATGAAACCCCATCTGGGAGTTTGCCAAAATAGGGGAAGTACCCTAACTAGTAGGATCCTTATTATAAGGCCCCCAAAATAAGGTACCCCTAACTTTCGTAAAATTTCATATCCCGCACCAGTACCACATCCGGAATCACGAAGCACTGGCCTCAAGAATTCGTTTCCGACCTGGGCGGCACTGATTTAAGAGAGCTGCAGCTTTCTTGTGTGAGGCAGCGCGGATCCGCAGAGTGCGTCGGTCCAAACAGTGTATCTCTTGTTTCGATTTCCTTCCTTGTCCATCCGTGATGGAAACGGCATCAAAGCGTCCAACAAGCACCGGAATAGAAACGACAGAAATCGAGTGACCTGCCCTGCGAGGATGCTATGCGGACTAGTTGCTATACCTGCCACGTTGCTTGATCATCTCCGCATGTTTCATCATTGCTGATGTCGACTGTCTTTCGCTGGGGACTGAAACAGAACTCTCACTTTCCGTCTGCCTGTTGCTCCTATTGGTCGTCCTTCTCAGCAGCAACAGCGGGAGCAGCAAGAGCAGCAGGACCATCACATGGGAGTTCCCGAAGACAGGGGACCCTAATACAGTACCCTACATAGCAGGATCCTCATTACAGGGACTCCAAAATTAGCTACCCCTAATTTTTGGAAACTCCCACATCAAAAACAGCTTGGCGGTCGACAACCTGCGGCTAGAACCAAGGCCTGAACCCTGCACCCCGATGCTTCAGGGTTTAGGGTTTCAGCACTCACAACTAGACCAGCAGGCAGGGTTTAGGGTTTAGGCTCCGGTCTCCGGGAATGAACTCACGACCTGAATTCGGCCCCTTCTTCTCCAAAGGCCCGGGCTTGCTTTGGACATGCCGTCATGGAAAACGACAACGGGGTAGTCTTCCTGGTTGTTGAACCTGCAGATACGTCTTGGAGGTCCCAAGAAAAGAATGTGGAACTTTGGATGTGCTCTCAAAACTCAGAGAAACTCGGCGATGGGTGTTCAGGGAACTGAGAACGCAAGAGTATACAGTAACTATGCCTAGTCGTCGCCGTCGGGCATTGAGCGGAACACCAAGGCCGAAGTATCGACACCCGAAGACTTCGCGTAGGACTTGCAAATTCATCCGCAGTCTCAGATCTAGCCTAGCTTTCTTCCTCAAGTGGCTACCGGCCCTACAACACAAGAACACTGAAGAGTAAATCTCGCTCGATGGGACATCTGCCTGCGGATAATTAAGTCGCAGCCCCTTTAAGAGTCTCTGACTTCACTCTGCCGAAGCAAAAACTACAACTGACTGTCTCGGCAAGTGTCCGGTACGAGTGTCGTGCCTCTCCCACAGGATCGGCAAGGTCCGCTCGAAATCGGCTAGCAGCTTCTCCCTGTCTCCTTCTGCCGAGCGGCAGGCACCCACCGTGTTCAGTAGCAGGGCCAAATGGGAGTTTCATTAAATTAGGGGTGCTGTATTAGTTTGGGGTCCTTACAAGAATAAGGATCCTACTATTTAGGCGCTCACACTCGGACAATCCAGGCGAGGCATAGGGTACTATATTAGGGTCCCCTATTTTCGGAACTCCCACATACAAAAGAAGTCGGCGGGTAGTGGTGGTAGTACTGTTGATATTATTGGCAGTCGTGGTGGTGGCATATAGCGGCACCTGCCGTCGCAAGAATAGTAGTACAAGCAGCGGGTGAAAGCGTGGCAACATAGGACCACATCTGCCACAATGCTGTTGCTACTGCCGTTCCTGCTATCACATGACGACGACCGTTGTGACTATGGCTTGCTTCTGCGGCATTAAGCGCCAGCGCTTTCAACTGACACCAAGCAATGCCACGTCACGAATCCAAAGCCTGAACCACCATGCAGTCCTGAAACAATCCGTAGGCTCAAGTGGACAAGAACCGCCCCAAAGCGAACAGAAAAACTAAAACCTGGGCATCTGGCCCACCAGGTAGTGTAGCACAGCTCGGTACTTTCGCGAGCCGTCCTGGCCAGGACTACTTACGCTTGTTGTGTGCCAGCCGTTCGAACAATGATATATTTCGACCTAAAGAACACCCCCCCAAAAAAACAAGGTAAAAGGGAAGCTTGAAAATCACATCATGCCGCAGGTTCAAGTTATGCTGCCGCTCCCGTTCATGGCAATGAAGGAGCAGGATAGGACTCCGACAAAAGATTCACGCAACAAGCCGCATGCGTTAAAGGCGGAAGCACCTAAGCCCGTTTCAAGAAGTGCCGAAGGCCGCTGCTTTCCGGAGCGGCGACCGCCGCCCAAGTGGGTGGTTGTCAAAATTAGCGTCCCTTTTTGGGGTCGCTCTCGAGTCGCGCAGCGTGTCGTCCAGCCGGCGGTCCATGTCGAAGCGCGCGGTAAGTCATAAATGCGCCCGAAGCCTCCTGAGACGTTCTTCCACGGAGGATACAATCCGATCCGTACTCTCCATGTGCCAGGGCACAAGCCCAGGACCACAATGACCTAAACTGAATGTATAGTCAGTTGATCTTCCAGACTCCAGAGCTGCTGGAGCCCAAACGTCAAATCGCCAAGTTGCTCTGGACTTTTAGATACTACGAAGAAAAATGAAGTGCGGACATAGTCTAGTGACACTCTGCTGGGAGCTCTCTCTTGGACTCGAGGGTGTAATATGACGAGATTCCTGCAGCGTGCCAGAGGCGAACATGCATGAGCGAGAACGGATGGCCGTCGCCAATTTTTTGGGGGGTCTGGGCTCTCGCGGTCGCGTCTCGCGACTCGTCCAGGATCCAGGGTTTAGACCATCCGTGCGCCCGAAAGTTCGAAGGTTGACAAGGAAAGTGCATCCCGATATACACTACATGCTATTTGCCAAAGAGATCCAAAAAGGCGAGTGCGTGCCACCCCATCATGCCTTCTTGCCAGGCTCCACATTTTCGCAGAACCTCCCCCGGTAAGGCGGGAAGCATTCGCAAAAGCCTGCGCACGGCAGACAGTGCAGAAGTGCTCATCAGGTAAATTTCGTTGGTGTCTGCAAAGCGATAAAGCGTTTAAACTGCGTCAGCGCTTCGGGTACTTGGAAACCTCCACAGGATATTGCCAAACACGAATTCGAGACCGAGACCCGAAAACCCTGAGCCAAGCGGGCCTAAGTGCGACAAACAGCGGCCACGGGCGGAGGACCTTGTCTGACACTTTGGCTCCAGACTTGATGTCTTTCAGCGCGACGCATGCTCGGCACGACAGGAGAGACTCCGGTAATAGGGGCCTTAATAATTAGAATAGGGTTTTGGGGCCCATTCTACTGTATCTTTAATAAGGAACCGGCGCGTTATACCGTAACTCTAATAAGGAACCCACAAAATAGTTTTGGTAATTATTTTTAGGCCCCTATAGTAGTTGAGCCATGAATCGTGACAGGGACGGAGGCGACTAAGCCGGTCATTCCGGGGACGGCGCTTCAGAATGTAGGCCTTTCCGGGCTCGTCGAGCGGATCCTGCCACCAACAGGCCCAAGTGAATGTCACGGTAGCCACAAGGAAGATTTCTGAATGATGACAATGCTAATGCCAGCAATTCTGAGTCAAACAAAAGATGAGCAGCCCTAAACCCTCAGCAAGGACTGAGGTGCCGCCCCCTTTTTGTGCAAACTTGCCAACGCCCGTTTTTAAACCCGTACTGAGGCCGATGCATGTGACGGGAGAGAGCACCCGACACCCCTAAACTGTGGCCCTAAACCCTCCAAACTATGCTAAACTTAGACCCCTAGCAAACATTTTTTTAGCTGTTTCTTAGGGATTATGGCAACCCCGAATTTAAAAAAACATTTCTAAGTACCCTGAAGTACCAAACCCAAAATCTCCCCACTTTTCGGGGTGCCTGGAGCTCCCAGGATCGCCAAGGCTGTGGTAAGGGTGCCTCCGCCTGCGGCACGTCAAAGGGGGCTTTCTTAAACGGGTTTCGGGTTTCGGCGCTCACACTCGGACAATCCAGGCGAGGCATATGAGTTCGAGTCTGCAAAGTGAAACGACACTAAGAGGCTTCGTCACTACGTTTCAGCAACAAAGTACAATAAGGGTTAAGGAATATACTTTAAGTTACCATAATAAGGATTATGGAAAGCAAGATGGTCTCTTTTATGTCTCTTTATTTTGATAACTTCAGTTAAACCCTTAACAAGAACCCAGTAACAGGGGTTCTTTTCGCCGGCTCTTCATTGAGGCTGCAGGAAAGCACGATCCTCAGAAACTTCGGTGGAAAGCTTGGATTCCTCTGAACTCTAAAAGCCTTAGAGAAGTCGCAGCTGCGCCAAGAGAAGCTTTGTAGTTCCGCTGCTGCCAGATTGCTAGATGCTTCGATTACGCTTCTTCTTCTTCCTCCTCCTCCTGCCGTTACCTCTGTTCAAGTCAGGCACTTCCAGATTCTGGGACTCAGCTCACCAGCATCATCATCAGCAGCATCATCATCAGACTGATGCCAGGCAACTGACTACGAAACCTCTCCTGGACTCCTGGGCCTGTGGATTTCCAGGCAACCTGAGACAACACATGGTCTGATAGCTGGTAGGCCGTCCTTGTCGCAAATGGTGTTCCATTCCTCAAGACAGGCTGGTCTGGCACTGGATTCGGAATTGTTGCATGTAGCCTGTTGCTTCGCACAGCCGGTCGCACAGCTGTCGGCAACTAGAAGGTAAGGAGCAGTGTTCACGCAGTTCGCCATGATTTTTTAAAGGGAGACTATTCCAGACAGAATCTGCTGCAGGCTGTGTTTGAAGGGCTGGACGGCCAGGATACTTAGGTTGTTGAAAGGGCTTAGCATTACACCTGTTGTTCCTAGATCAGCTCGTCCTGGAGCCATGATTCTAAGGTGCCAACCACCAGCGGAAGCCGGTGGGTGCTGATGAATTGGCACAGGGCGTCCCTCTGCATCTTCGCCTGGCTAAGGAGAGGCTCTCTGCCAGCTAAGCACCGAGTTTCTGGTGTGAGCTATTTAGGGACTCCGCTATCGCGATGCAGCTCTCATCTACCGGGGGTGCTTCCGAGCTGGTATGCAAGGGGCTTCGTGTCACGAACCGCCAACAACTGCATGTCGGAGATGCTGGCAGACTTCGATTCTGCAAGGCTGCAAGCTCTGCAGCCCCACGGACCTCAGCTTAAGTAAGACGTGCGAAACACTTCGCAAGCTAGTCGTGAACGGCATCGCGCATCTCATGACGTGCTTGCACCCTCGAAAAAGTTGTGCAGTTCAGGGTTGAATCGGCTTGCTGTTCCCCATCATTGTGGCTGCCGACCTTCAACCTCAGATGCGTTTTTACCGGGGCCCAAACTGTTTTCAAACCAAACAGACCGGGCGTGGCAGCGGAGCAGTGCCAACCTGACATCCCACGCAAGATGCGGCTTTACGAAGTATTCTTGCGGAACCGGTCCCTATTGGGATTCCTGTTTGTACCGATTACCCGTTGCAATGTAATGCAGAGGATTTTGAACTGAGAGAACCCCTTCCCTATGTCATAACCGTAGGCTTGAATCAGACAGGAATGGAAGAAAGCTTGTATCTTTCCGAGCAAAGCCAACTAACTAAGCAAGATAGTTGCACACATCGCGACCAAGAAGCCTAAACGCCCTAAACGTTCCGCCCTGACGCAGGGCCTCCCCCTGCCCAGAAGGCCGCTAAAAAGCTTCAGGAGGTTTAAAGTAAAAGCCAGAAAGTTGGAATATGATTATCCTAAAACTAAATTATAGGGAATCCTACCGTTACCCTGAAACCATATTCCAACTTTCTGGAGTTCCCTTTAGAACAATGAAATTCATAATCCATGCATTTGCTGCGGGGAAACAGGAAGCCCTTTCGACAAAGCTAGACACCTTTTCAAGCGGTTGCGGCTTAAAGCTTCGGGGATCATTGGTGAAAATTAGTCCCTTCGCATGATGCAGCCTACCAGCTAGAATAGCATGGTAACGTCTCTTATGCAGGAGTATTGCACGTGGTAGCATCCTGACGTATAGTGGCCAGCATGGATGCCCAGCTTGACATGCACCATCCCGTATGCCCTAACTACTCCCTAACTTCTTGAAGTGCGCAGACCAGGAGACATCCACCACACACAAGCAACCACGGCACACGTGAAGGAACTTGCAACAGCTAGTGCTACAAAGTCGTTGTAAGTGCGGCTATGGGAATCTTAGCCCGCAGCTTTCAGTTGCAACCTCACCCCAAACACGCAGAGAAGCTGAGGTCTTTGCAGGAACATCCTTGCACTTTCGGCCGTGTTGATAAGCCCAGCTTGAACGATGCTAGAACTCCCCAGGCAAATGCCACCGGTTCAAGCAGACCGCCACCACTCCACCCCCGAAGAAACGCACATGCTTTCAATTCCCCTACCACTCCTGATGCTACAACACCCTTGGCCCCAAAGCCTTGAAGCCTTGAACACTAAACCCGATGCGGATGCCTTTCAGCCAGTGGTCGTACAAGGACACAGCCCCCGGCCTCCAATCGGTCGGGGCAGTTGCGGAATTTTACGAAGGGCCGCAACACGAAAGCTTGGGAAGCCGCTCTAAAGCCAGAGACAAACGCCTTGATGTCATGTCTAGTTGTTCGGAGGCTTCCTGGCAAAGCCTTAAACCTTGACTTCCGGCGCTTGCGTCCCCTAAGACTAAGACTTCTTCTTGATGACTTCCGAGACAATGAGGTTCGGGGGACTCCTGCTATTTCCCGCACCGCACGAGTTCTTGGTAGAAGCGCGGGCCTTGGAATTGAGGACGAAACACAACATAATCATCTAAGCTTGTCGAAAAGAGCAGCTGAGAAAAGAGGGGGCCCCCGCATCGACGGCAGAACACAGACGAAGTGGCCCTCAACCCCAGTGAATAATTCTAGGATCCTCTGAAACCAATGACGGTTCGAAGGTCTGAGCGTCTGACTGGCTTGACTACCCAAAGTTTTAAACAACTCCAGAAATCAGAAAGATGGCTTTGCAGGGACCAAGCCAGTGGCTCCACGCTGCGGAGCCCCGACGAGCCAACTTCACCCAAAGGACCTGGAGCCGGTAGCCGGTGAGACTTCGCCACAGTTTCGACTCGCACACTCGCACGAAAAATTGAAGAGCACACACACACACACACAACTGGGACAAGCCCGGCGTGTAGGGGCTCAGGCTTAGGTTTTAGGGAGGCGAGTAGACTGGGACATATCTGCAGAGATTTCAAAGGGTGACGGGCCAGTTTCCATGTTGAATCAGCTGCCAGGTGCAAGCGTGAGGTCCACGGATCTCTTGGGTCTACGGATCTCTTGACCTTGTACATTCATACCTACGGATGGGAGCATGCCAAGCATTCGAGAAGGCGATAGAGAGAACTGTCATGCCCCTACATCGCATACGAGCGTATGCATAAGATCATATCGAGAATCAGCAGGGATCTCTGTCCATCCTCGCACGAGCTTCGAGAGGGAATCTATTAAGGTCCTACCACCTGGGTGTTGACTTCGCTCAAGAGTGCCGGCATCTTAGATTCTTAGATGCAGCACGTAGGCTTTTCGTCGGTACTGTTCCATTAATGTTACGTAAGGACAGCGTTCGAGACTTTGCAAGACCAGCCGACCGGCGCATCTGAAGCCCCAGGTGGAAGCTCACTGGGCAGTTATAAGTACCTCCAGAAGTACTGTTTGATCTGGTTACAGGAGAGTGAAAGGATGACTTCAGTGACTGCGAAAAACTACTGTTTGATTGCCATCCAAAATATATACTTTTATTAGTATTATTTTTATTATTAGTAGTAGTAGTAGTAGGTATGGTAGAGGAGGCCGCGCCTGCAGTTGAAGCCGGCACCGAGATGGGGCGTAGCAGCTTCGAGACCTATGGCTCGTCGTGCTTACGTTTGCTTCTTGGAGGTTCATGGGTGGTTGTAAGAGGGGTCATAAGTGGGGTAACTGTAATGACCCATATTAGGGGACGTATAACCCCACTTTATAACTACCGATGGACCTCCAAGTACCGTAACATGTAGGAGCAAAGCACCAACAACAGCACCCGAGGATCAAGCAAAAGCTGAGAATCCAAACACCATCGACCACCCAAGAATGCTTCCATATAATATCTCCTGACTCTCTACAGCGACTTGGGCCTCCGCAGATCTCCGAAGGGCAGTGCGCTGAATCAGCCAAGGACCAAGCCAAACACCGTACTCAAGGCGGCTGCTATTAAGCGGGGCCTTTTTCCTACAAGGTCTTGGGAAGGCCATCGCGATTCCACCAGACGACCTGCTGCCAAATACACTTGCTCTCTCCACTACTGTGCAAAGAGCCTCCCCTCTTCGTTAACCCATAGCTACATTGGTAAATGCTTCGGATACACGTATGTCCACGAGGCGCGGCTGACTAATTGCAGATTCATGCTTTTGACACTCTTCTTTACTGCCAGCGGCAACGACCATGGGCAAAACCAAGCGGGGAGAGCTCAAGCTTCCCTTAGGGCTGTCGCAGCAGTTCCCGGAACATCGCGTTTTCGGCGGACAACTCGAACACCGTATTTCCGGCGTTGTTCTTCAGGCCCGTCTTTGCGCCCCCGCAGTCAGCTCCTTGAAGCACTCCGCGTGGCCATGCTGCATGGCGAGCATCAGTCCACTGTGGCCGTCGTTGTCTTGACAGTCCTTCTCTGCCCTTCCGTCCAGGTGCGCTCTGAAGGAATCGGTCTGACCTTCCCGAACTGCAGTCACAAGCGCTGTGCTTCCATCCTTACTTCTGGCATCCTTGTCCATGCCCTTGTCGAGGATCTGATTGTAGCGGTCATTGCTTGATGTGCTCCGTATGGCCATGCTTCACCAGCAACATCAGGTATCTCCAGCCAGCATCGCTTCTATAGTCCATGCATTTGTCGTGAAGAAGGACCACCAGGAGCTCGACTTTGGACGTCGCTCTGGAAGTTGCAGCGGAGAAGCCCGGGTCTCTGGTCCAAAGAACCGTGCTTGTCCATTCCAGAGCGACGCCCAAAAAAATCTTGTCGTAGGTCACACTGCCGTGGCCAGGCAGCTGCTGACCTACGAGGCGGACATCTGGCTGAAGGACTCCATCAGCGAAATGTCGGCCTTGTAGGTCAACAGCTGCCTGGCCGCGGCAGAACGGCCTTCAGCCAGTGCGCGGTGGAGCGCACGCTTCCCATCGCCCGTAACATTGTTGGGCTTCGTCAAGGCGCACAGGAGTTCGACCGCCTCCTGCAGGGCCGTGCGCTGAGTAGTCTTCTAACGAAGGGCAGCTCCCGCATGGTGCAGCTCTTCCTTCAATGAATTCAATGAAGGAAGAGCTGCACCATGCGGGAGTATCTTCTTGTCCTCTTGCAGCCCGGCCTCGGGATCTATTCCGGCCCGGGAAGAGCTCGTCGAGCGTGGTAAAGAAGAGTACTGATGTTCGAAGCTTTTGCTAGCTGTCTGACAGGTCGCTAAGATTGCTTCTCCTCCTACAAACTCCAGTGCCTTTGCATACTGGGACGGTTCATCCTTTTCTTGTTGCAGTGTCGCGATCACTCGTCTCACCTCGTGTCGGCGAGGCCAAACTTCGCGCGGGGAGCTTGTTTCGGTGCCTGGCTTGGCATGCCAGGCGGTTCCTCGGGGTGCCAAGCAGCGCTTCCTTGCTGGCTTGCGAGCTGTCCTTGCCATGAATCTGCGCACGGTCACCCACCAGGGCATGGCAGGCGAAATAGACTCAGCTTCGGAGTGTATCTTGAGCCGATGGGCTTTGGCTTTAGGGGGCGTGCCGTCTGTCGTCGCAAGCGGGCAACATGCAGAAGTCAGAGCTGGCCAGAAACCTGCTTACCATTGGTTAATAGGGAATGGAAGAATGGTAGTAATAGTAGTCATAATCATACCGCATTCCTCCATTCCCTACTAACCAAAGGTAAGCCTCAAAGGAACCCGAACTTCCTAAGCTGCTTGTAGAAGCACGGTTGGCATCCTCAAGCCTCGCCTCGGAGCTCGAAACCCAAGACCAGAAGTGCACAAAAGCGCATAATAAATAAGAGTAAGAATGATAACTAGTAAGAGTAATTATAGTAGTAGTAATAATAGTAGCTAGTAACTAGTAGCTATTAGAAATACAATACTTGTAATATTAGTAAATGAAGACTCGAGTCTTCGCCGAGGCAGCAGCCGCAGTCCAAGCAGCTTTCAGCACCTTTCTGAGGCAACGAGGGCTGTCATCTCTTGTGGTAGCTCAAGGACTCAGAGAAAGCTGTGATGCCAAGGGCACCCAGACTAGACCTGTGACCGTGTGATTCTGATAGCGGCATAAGTGGCGGAGAACTGCGGACAGCTCTCGGCACGGCACGAAAACGGCGAAGGTGTGCCTCTGTCAGCGGTGTTACTCGCATAAAGCTTGCTTGACAGAGTTAGGCATATCTATTGAAAACAGGGCAACCTACTTGCCATCAATTTTGCTTCGGGTTTGCAGTCAAGGGGGAGCAGACCAGCCGAAACAACAGCCGGAGGCCTGCCAGCTTTCGGATTTTTTGGATCTCTTAGAAATTCAAGGCGTAGGAAAGCAGGGCAAAGGCTGAACCAAACATGGCATGTAAACAAAACGGCATCAAGGAGTGACAGATGCCCCTACCTCATTCTTGCCCTCGCGGCAGACTTGCATTATCGGGTCTAACTGTCTAACTGCAATGCCGGGGCACTCGATGGATCTTATCGGGAGGGATTTAACGGCCACCAGAACACGTCTAGTCTAGGGATGCCAAAAACACCAATAAACGCAGCCGTAGTAGAAGTTAGTAGAATTTGAAACGCATCTGCAATTTAGGTAAATGCTATTCACATCATACGGGATTCCAATGTTCGTTTGTCAGGCCGCAACACATACCAAACGTGCATAGACCTATACCCATCCCCTGAACCCACCCTTCGCATGCTGTGCCCAGCCAAGCGCCCTTGAACTTGTCACCTAAACCTAGATCAAACTCAACGATGCGGCCGTGGGAAATGCAGGTTTGACACTTTGCAGCGTGCCGCTCAAGCTCATCCCCTCAGCCCCGCCTAGAGTCGAAACTCCGACCCCTTCCAGCCAGAAGCAACAACAAGACACGAACACCAGGGCTGGCACTCGAGATGGAGAAGTGCATAACCCTGCCTGGGTGCTCAACAGCACTTTGGGGACGAGGCTTTGCTACAGTCATATAATCTGTATGAACAAGTGCACATTCAACAAGAAAGTCATGCACACGTGTGCTTGAACATACATATATATATATATATATATAGTTATATGTACAATACAAATATAAATATATATATACATAGTATTTGTATGTACATCATGTGCATGTACCCTTTCTGATTACTGGGTCGCGCAACTTGCGCTGTGCACATAGTTCTACATATACATCGTCATCTCAGTAGACCTGAATATGATGTTGAAACCTGTCCAAAGGGAAATGTCAGCTATAGCTCTTGGCAAAGAAAAGTGCTCATGCATGGAGTGGTTGTAGTGTGGAAGAGGTATTGAAAGAGACTTGTGCTTTGATCGTTGGGCTACCCGACAAGCGGGCAGCAATAATGATGCCCCTAGGCGGCAACACTCCGAAAAGTAATCCGAAACCCTGTACTAGAAACATAATCGGGAGCCACCAGAATAGTATAGGTAATTAACTTATGAAGGCCCCTAGAGTAACACGACATCTCCTTTCAGGATGCTTTCTTCCCAGTGGTGTCGGGTCTTGGCCCTTCTCGGTGCTACATGCTTTGGCTTGGCTCCCGTGGCTCCGCCACGCCAGGCAAGGCAGTTTTGACTTGGTCGGTCTGTTTCGACTCGCACACTCGCTCACGCAGGCACGGCTTCACGGTCTCAGATAGGTTTTGTGCCTTGTTGTGCGGCATGGTGAGATGCGTGTTGGTGGGGTTTTAGGTCAGGGCGGCAGCTGAGGTGGCCTCGGAGGCTCTGAGTGGCGCACTCTTCCATGATGGCAGAGGCACTGGCCAAGGAGCACTGTGCAAGCCACCATATTGCCTGGCTCTGTGGGCACTACAACTCAATGCCATGTCGGAGAAACAGGACAATTGCCGGGTGTACAGCTGAAGGCTGAAGGCTCAAGTGGCTCAAGACTCCAGACTGAAGATTCGTTTTTGCTTGGGCTGTGGATGACACTTACAACAACAAGAAACAAATCTAGTAAGTTGAGGAAACAAACATGATAATGTACGAACCTGCAACGCTTGAGTGAGAAGTTCTCTGTGCAAGGAGAGGAGAGGAAATGAGGCTTATCTGATCTCGAAGGACAAGGCCCTGCCTCACCGTCAGTTTCAACCTCAGCTTCAATGCCGAGCTTGCGAAACTTTCCATGAAACATGGGAAATTGCTTAAATCGGGACCCCTCTCGGGGCGCAAGGAGAGAGTGGCTGTCAGTCGCTAGGACCACTGGAAGCATACACTTCAAACAGTTTTTTGCTGGCCACTTCCCGGCAATCGTGGGCTTGATGGCATTATGAATGCTTCTGGTACTGCATCTTATTACTACCACTATTTGGCTCTCCACTCTTCTTGTGCGAGAATCTCGGCGAATACTTCTACGATTATAAGTACAACTGTTTACTCCCGAAGCCAATTCCGACAACGACGTTTTCCACATTCACAGCACCCCCTAAGCCCCGTAACCTGGAACAGCTTCGGAACCAAATGCTTGGAACATCTTGAAACGCTTCTCTTCTAAACGTCCTGAGAGTACACCAAACCTTCAAGCCATTATGCAGAGGCCCAGGCACCAACGCTCCGCTGACTAAGTAATCCGAGATTTTTGGGTTTTGGGAAAAGTCTCAAGAGCCGGACCGTCCCTGTCTCCGCAGCTGTTGGTCCTGCGAAACCCATGGGGCAGAGAGGAGAACAAGAATTTTTAGACTAGGGCTCTGCGGCCCATTAAAATATGAGTATAGTAAGGAAACCCCAAAGTAGTTTGGGTAACGCTGACAGACAAAATGACTATTCGAAGACCATCGAACATACAAGCAAGCCTTCGCTGCCACGGGAGGTTGCAGCTTCACCAAAACCCAAACATTCGCACGATTTCAATCAGGTTCGCGGTAATTGCTTTGGCGATTGGACAATTTCAACATCAAACTCGTGGGCGACGCATACCTACTACTACTACTGCTGCTACTACTGCTACTACTATTACTACTACTACTACTACTACTACTACTACTACTACTACTACTACTACTACTACTACTACTACTACTACTACTACTACTACTACTACTTTACTACTAACTACTAACTACTAACTACTACTACTACTACTACTACTACTACTACTACTACTACTACTACTACTACTACTACTACTACTACTACTACTACTACTACTACTACTACTACTACTACTACTACTACTACTACTACTGCTTTGTTGGGAAAGCGCCTTGGTTCTCCCTGGATGCTACCGGCATCTCCTGAAGACGCTTTGGACTCCACGGCCTGACGTCGGCACTGACGATTTAGGGTTTCGGCGCTCACACTCGGACAATCCAGGCGAGGCATATGGTTCGGACGGTTTAGGGCTTTGGCTTTAGGGTTTAGGGGTTCGATTTGGGAAGCTGGTTTGTGCTCTCACACTCGGACTTTACTTACTCCCCCAACAAGCCACAAGAATAAAGGGTTGAACTTTCCGGCTCCTACTTACTAAACTATGAGAACCCAAAAAGTGTAAAGGTTGAGTATTGGTGATCTAAGGACTTTAACACACAACCAGAATCGACAAGAAAGAAGGACACGC